ACAAGACAGTGTTAATATTGTTTTAAACCGTCCTGTGTTTTTAAAAGAACTTAAGAGGAACAAATGTCTTTTTAATTTATTCTGATATTTATCATTTTTAATATTCTTCACTTGTTCCTGAAGAGTCAAATTTACCTGTAATGTTTTTTTCTTCCTAAAACACTTCCTTTAGTATTTCTTGTAGTGCATTTCTCCTGGTGACACATTCTCTCATCAGTTTTCCATTCTGAATATGTCATTTGTTTAGTTTATTCATAAGGATATTTTTGCTACCTTTGGAATTGTGGGTTTACAGTTTTTTTCTTTCACCACCTTGAAGGTGATGTTTTATTGTCTTCTATCCTGCATGTTTTCCAATTAGAAATCCACAAACATATTGTCTAGATTTTCTCCTTAACCTTTTTTTCTCAATATTTTAAAATTGGTGCATTATCATATATAATGGYGGGATTTGTTGTTACCTATTTATCCATGCACACAATACAACAATATGTTTTGGCTAATACCACTCCCCTGTATTTTCTCCCTCCTACCCCCTTCTTTCTCTCCTGATCCCTTTCCTCTATTCTGCTGATCTCCCTTTGTTATAACTTTGTTTTTTTAAGCAGTACATGAGTGAGGTTGAATTTTTCTGTTTAAGATTCACTGCACTTCATAAATCTGTAAAATTTTAATTTTATTCAAATATAGGAAATTTTGGCTATTCTTTCTTCAAATATATATAGATTTTCTGTCCCCTTTCTCTTCCTGGGATTGCCATTATACATCTGTTTGATATTTTCATATTGTTCCACAGGTTCTTGAGGTGTTCGTTATTTTCTTTAAATATGTTTTTTCTCTATGTTATTTAGATTGGAATCTTTTTGTTCTGATATTAAAAATCATTGTTTTTTATAACCTCCATCATGCTCTTAAACTCATTTGGTGAATTTTTTTCCTTTTTGTTTTTCTGTGTCTTGTTTATTTCACTTAACATAATGACCTCCAGTTCCATCCATATTGATGCAAGTGATAGAATTTAGTTTTTTTATGACTGAATAATATTCCTCTATGTATATATCACATTTTCTTTATCCATTTATCCACTGAAAGTCATCTGGGTCGATTCTATATTTTAGCCATTATGAATAGGGCAGTAATAAACATGGGAGTGCAAGTATTTTTTGGTATAATGATTTCATCTCCTTTGGATATATACGCAGTAGTGGCATTAATGAGTTGTATGGTAGTTCTGTTTTTAATATTTTTGAGGAGTGTCTATAGTGTTTTTCATAAAGGCAATTCTAATTTTTATTCCCACCAAAACCATGTGAGTCTCCCTGACCTTTTTGGGGGGCATTCTCTCCAGTATTTGTTATTATTTGTATTTTTTCAAACCTTTATTTTTTTATTTTTATGTAGTGCTGAGGATTGAACCCAGTGCCTCTTAGCCACAACCCCAGCCTTATTATTTGTATTCTAGTCCTTCCAGCTGGTGTTAAATAATATCTCATTGGTATAATGATTTCATTTTGGGTTACATTTCCATGATGATTAGTGAGATTGAGCATCTTTTCATGTATTCATTGACAGTATGTACATTTTCTTTTGAGAAGTGTTTGTTTAGTTGTTTAGCTCATTTGAGTTAAGTTCTTGATGCTTTACATAAAACAGTATAGTTGATAAAGTGAGCCCATCTGAAGATTCATAGGAAAAATGATAATAACTAGAGATTTTAGAATACTTAAGAGGAAAACTTAGGGTGATAACTATTTTTAAATATTCATCAGTGATTATGTGAAAGAGGAATCAGATTTCTATGATTATGGAAGGAAGAACAATAACTATTGCATAAAAATTACAGGGAAGCACATTTTAATACAGTATAAGGACAAATAAGATTGGTAGAATAGTGAATGATTAGCTACTTGCTAATAAAGTTGCAGTGGTTTTTGCATAGATAAGGTTTGAATTCAATTATTTGTATAAAGTTTTTGTTGGGGGAGGGAGTACTGAGTATTGTATCTAGGGGCACTTTATCGCTGGATTACACTCCTTTTTGTCTTTCATTTTGAGACAGAGTCTCCTTAAGTGACTTAGGGCCTTCTTAATTTGCTGATTCTGACCTCAAACTTAGAATCTTTCTGCTTCAGCCTCCTAAGAGTCTGGTATTGCAGGCATGTGCCACTGCACCTGGCTTGTGTGATTTTTAAATTAAAATTCTGTGCCTTTTGTAACAGGGCTCTGTCAATTAAATCCTCTGTCATCATATTTTATTTTTGAGTATACTCAATAATGACTTTTTTTTCTCTTTTAAAGAATTTTAGTCACAGGAAAGTTCATAGTTCTGTCTACAAGTCTGTCAGCTTAATTATTTTGAATATGTGTGCAGTTTGACTCTAGTGACTTGTTTATATTTTTAAATAGGCAGAAAACCAAAAACTTTTAGATGAAAAAAAACAAGTCGAGAAGATTGCTGAAGAATTGAAAGTAAAAGAGCAAGAACTAACTGGTCTTTTACAGACCAGAGAGGTTTGTTAAGGATAAATTTTTGTTTCAAATATTATATTAAAAGAATACAGATTTTCAAATATATTATATTTAAACTATTCACTCTGTAAAAAATTTCTTCATAAGCTTCTTTTTAAAAATATGCATTCCCATTAACTTTTAAAATGTAACTAATGTGGCTATTAAATTTTAAATTAATAAAAATAAATTTAAAATTTAGTTACTTGATTGTTAAAATCACATTTGAATATTACACATAGAGAACTTTTAGATTATAATGTGGGAAAGAAAGGTTTACATTTAAGATACCAATCCTGTGTATAATGTTATGGCTTATAACAATTACATTTATTGGTGTCTTAAGTATTTCTTAACTGGTATATTTGAAATTTTGTCTTTATTAAGTTAGATTCTTATACTGTAATATATTTTATAGTGCTCATATTATAGTTTTAGAATTTAAAGTATGTTTCCAGTCCATAAACAAAATTATGTTATAAAAAACTGTCTATAATACTAAGAACATCTTTATTTCTAAGATACTACCTGATTTTATTAATTAACATTTTCATCAATAATATAACTTTTTAATTGAAATTAATTACTTGGTAGAGTAAAACAGACAAAATATTTTATAATATATAAATATAATTTTTCTGGTTGAACTTGACAATATCAAGGTAGAATTTATTTACATTGCAATTGTCATTGCTCATTTGTTTTAAAATTAAAATGATTATCACATTAACCTACTTAAATTTAAAATATTTGGCATACCCTGACATGTTTTTTGCCAAACATAAGACTTGATTACTTAGAGTGACCATATATTTTGAATGGAAAAACATTTGCCTTGGGTATGTATGTTTATTTTGCAGAAAGAAGTACATGATTTAAAAATACAGTTAACTGCCATTGCAACAAGTGAACAGCATTGTTTAAAACAGGTTAAAGATCTGAAAACTGAGCTTGAGAAAGAGAAGTATGTTATCCATTATATGTAGTTTAATATTCAATTGCTAAGCTTTCTGGTAATAAATAATAAATTAGGAAATTATGTTTAATATTTATATGAATGGATTTCAAGTTGCACTTTATTCCAAGTGAAAGATCAAGATGGTGTACTATTGCTAATAATGTTTCATTGCTAAAGGAAGTTATTTTTATTATTATTATTATTTTGTACCAGGGATTGAACTCAGGGGCACTCGACCACTGAGTCACATTCCTAGCCCTATTTTTTTTTTTTTGTATTTTATTAGAGTCAGGGTCTCACTGAGTTGCTTAGCACCTCACGTAATTGCTGAGGCTGGCTTTTTGAACTTGTGATCCTCTTGCCTTTGCTGTTGGGATTATAGGCGTGCGCCTCCACGCCCGGCAGGAAGTATAATTATTGACATAAAAATAGAACATAACAAAGTTAAACCTCTTTAGAAAATCAGTATGCAGTTTTCTCTTGGAGATGGGTTCTAAGATCCTTGAGTATGCCAAAATCTGCAGATGTTTAAGTCCCTTATATATAAAAAAGCATAATAATTGCACATAACATGCATAACATAACACATATTAAATCATCTCTAGATTACTTATAATACCTAATACAATATGTACATGCTATGTAAATAGTTGCTATATTGTGTGGTTTGGGAAACAATGCCAGGAAAAAAAGACTGTATGTTTAATAGAGATGCAGTTTTTCTTCCTGTATATTTTCATTCTGTAGTTGGTTGATTCCATGGATGCAGAACCCACAGACACAGAGGGATTAACTCTATTACCTTTTTAGAGGTATTATTTTTTGACAAAATAACATTTGTACTTCAAGTAGCTGGGTTTTTTTCCTAAATTATTTCATAGGTTTTATTGATAAAATGTTAACATGCAAATTTATTTCTTACATTATCCAAATAAGATATATTTAATTGAACGTTAGTTTGGAAAGTAAGTGTGAGAAATAATTATTGTATTATTACTGAGAGAAATAAATTCAGGTAGCCATTCTGTTGTTGAGCATTGTTTTTATATTTTGGTTGCTTCTCAGCTCTAGATAAAAATAAGAAGTAAATAGTTTATGCAGTAGCCTCTCCTTTCCTGGTTGGTTCCCATTCCCTGATTACCTTTGAACAGTGTTTTAGGAGCACTGGGTAAAATTCATTTAGTAACCCAAATCTCTTTTGATGAATGGAGTGGTTAGTTAATACTTTAGTATAAATTTATATTCCCTTTGGTTCATTTTCTTTTTCAGTCTTTCATTGCTTAGTGGAAAAATTTTATTTCCACTTCAGTGGATTTCCAGTATTAAGTATAAAAAGATAATAGGTACTCCTGAAATCCTTCGGTAGAGCACACAATTCTGTGCTCACTTAAAATTGATCCTGGCTGCAACCAGTAACAAATATTCCACACTGCAGTCTTATCTTGCAGTGTGGAATATTTGAAACCTTATAACAGCAGTTTARTATTATACAAAAGTTAAACCTAGTGTTATCTAATTAAAAATAATCACTTTCATGGGTGAAAACATTACAGTCTGACAAACCTGTAGGTTGTGGCTCTATTCTCGTTTTGAGGATTCTGAGCCTGATTCTAGCAAATCAAGCATTATGCTAAATGAATGAAACATGAAGCTGATGTTTGTTGCAGAAGCATCTGGACTTTGAGGAAWTGTGCGCCAGGCCCATYTCTGTGTACTTGCATCCAACTGTAATGAGCCTATGTATGTCAAATTGGTGGAGGCCCTTTGTGCTGAACACCAAATCAATCTAATTAAGGTCGATGACAACAAGAAACTAGGAGAATGGGTAGGCCTCTGTAAAATTGACCGAGAGGGCAAGCCCCGTAAAGTGGTTGGTTGCAGTTGTGTAGTTGTTAAGGATTATGGCAAAGAATCTCAGGCCAAGGATGTCATCGAAGAGTACTTCAAATGCAAGAAATGAGCAAATAAATTTTTAGTTCACAAAAAAAAAAAAAAAWAAAAAAAAAAAAATAAAAATAATCAAATTATCAGAAGTTTGAAGAAATTTCTGAGACATATTATTAGAATTAAAAAATTATGTGAAGAAAATAATGTGTCCTTCAGAGTTTGTGAAAATGTTTGAGGAAATCAGAGTATGAGGGAATAACCAAGGAAACTATGACATTTTGAAAACAAAATGTAAAAATTTCAAACATGTACAAAGTAGAGGGAATAGTGTGATGAATCAGGATGAACTTACACCCCACTTACTGGAATTATTAACTAATGGCCCATCTTGTTTTATTTATATTCCTAGCCCTTCCTTCTTTCTCCTAAGATTATTTTGAATTAAATTTCGTATCATCATGTAATTTCATATGTAAGTGTTTTGGTATGAAATATTTTTTAAAAATAGGCTTAAGAATACTGAATTAACTGCAAGCTGCAACAAGCTTTCATTAGAGAACAAAGAACTAGCACAAGAAACAAGTAATATGGCCCTAGAAATCAAGAAACAGCAAGAAGATATTAATGTGAGTTGAAAAAGGAAGTACTGGTAACTTGGTTTTCTTACCTGTAAAATTAGGGGGCTTTTAGATAGATGACCTCTGAAGATTCTTTCAGATTAAAAATAGGATTATTTTAGAGCTGATACTTTGTTTCAGAAGAAAAATGTGTTTATTAATCTGAGATGGTGATAATGGGCCACAGAATGTAGAGGCTACTTTATAGATAAGGTTAATATAATTTTAAGCTTAAGATTTTTATATTTAGTCAATAAGTATTATTAAGTCATAGATGACTCTGAAGGATACTATGATGAGTAAAATAGCATTTCAAGAGTTTATGGCAATAGAAAAATAGTAAATATTTAAGTAACTTAAAATAGCTTAGTACATGATTTATGTTGGTGGGACAAAGTGTTCTCAGATTTACACCATCACTTCTGCCTTGGTGACCTTAAAAGATGAATTCTGAGTACAGTAAGTGACAACAGATTACATTTCTTCAGACCAGAACAATATGAACAAATGATATGAGGCTCAAAGTATCATTGGGAAATAAAAGTTTTGTTAACTATGATATAGAGATTGTTATAATTAGTATAAGCCTGGAAAAGTAGTATGGAACTGTGCAAATTAAGTAGCCCGTTTTCTTGCTTTATATATGAATAAGTTTTATAGTTACAGATAAAGGTTTTAAATATTAATTTCAGTTTTAGTTTTGTTGAAACAAAATAATATAAACAATGTTGATATCTCTTTAGAGTAGCAAAAAGCAACAAGAAAGGATACTGAAACAAGTAGAAAATCTGGAAGAAACAGAAACACAATTAAGGCAAGACTAATGAATTGATCTTGTTTATCTGGAAATAGATTTCGATATTTTCTGTTAACTTGTTATGGTTAATTTAAATTTAACTTATGTTGAATATTATATAAAATACAAAATTTAGACTAAAATTACTGTTTTGGAATCTTGCTTAAAAATAAAATTGTAATTTCTCTTTTATATTTAGTGTTGAAACAGTAAAATTAGATGAAGGTCAATTTTAAAGCATCATAAACCTTCTAATTCTTTAATATTTACTTAAGAAAGTATACTAATCATAATCCAGAAAATTTATATGAAAGAAATTGTAAAAGTTATTTATAACCACATCAGCTATTATAATATAGGAATATTTATGCCCACTCTATATTAAAGGATGGTCTTTGCTTGTAATCATTGATATACAATTTTATTTGTGGTTCTTCCATTTAATATTATTCATGTTTCTAGGTGTTTTCACAATCATCTATTTTTAATACACCAGTTAATCAAGTGGATTAATAATATTATTTAGCTTTTTTTTTAGTTTAGAAAGGCAAACTTATAATTCCTGGTACACATTTTATTAGTTTTTGTTTAATGACTAGAAATCCTTATGTCTTCAGAAAATATTACATATTCATTGAAACACTACCTATCTTATTATATATCTATATCATATTTATTAGATAAGAATTCCAATTACTTTTATGTAATAAAAGTAAAAAGGAATTTTGTATGTTGGCTATGTTTCACTTTATACATTATTTTTAGGCCTTTATAGAATATAAAACTTAGAAAAACATTCTTAACTAATATTCTTATTCGATGTAAATGACTCAAACTACAAGCAGTACTAAGCTAAGCACTGTTATTACTTTTAAAATCTAAGTTTCTAGAAGTTTTATTTCTCAATCAATACAAAATAATCTAGTTCACACTATTAACTGCCCAAAAACTGTTTAAAAAACTAAATATTCTTTGTTAAAGAGAAGATTACAAGAAATGTTTTCTATGTTCTCATTTTAAAAAACAAGATTCTGGTATACATGGAGAATTTAAATACAAATTCTTACATGGTGGCTAAAATCTTTTTTTTTTTTTTTTTTTAGAATTTTTAATATTTATTTTTTAGTTCTCGGCGGACACAACATCTTTGTTGGTATGTGGTGCTGAGGATCGAACCCGGGCCGCACGCATGCCAGGCGAGCGCGCTACCGCTTGAGCCACATCCCCAGCCCTGTGGTGGCTAAAATCTTGACAACTTTTAGCCTGATACAACATAAATCAACAGTTATTATGCATAAACAATTCAAAATTAAAGTTTATAATRGAAATGTCAACAAGTCATAACTACAACACATCAATACTGATGGGTTCCATATACTTCCAGCAGGCACAGCAGATGTGCACATCTGATAGACAGACTGCTTAGAAAATTAAAGCTATCAGAGCTATAAATAAGGAATACATAAATATAAACATAGCAATGCCAAAGCATTAGGGCCATTAAAAAAAAGATGCGATGCAAACACATTTGATAGTTCTCTCTGTAAGCCACTTTCCACTGATTTATAAAGCTATGGTTTTATAATTCTTTTTTAAAAAAGGAAAATTTTTCTACACTGCTGCATGCAGTAATTTCACTGTACATTCTTGACTAAAATGCAATCTTCAAATYCTCTTGAGGAATTTGACATATCTCCTCAGGATCTCTCCAGAAAGTCAGCTTGTCATATTTTCAGCAGCCTTTAGTGCTTCAGTAGCCTTGCGGAGTTCCTTAATAACAGATGATAAAGCTTCTGGGTTAATTCCTTGTTCACAAAGCCGTGCACAAATAGACAGTGTTTCCATAAATCTAAGCCAGTATTCAAAATTCTTGAAATCTCAAGCAGAACGTCCACGGTTTCCCTCACCGCATTCAGATTCGCCGCTGTGGTTGCCAACGACCTAGCGCCACTGCCACTTGCCATGGCGGAGGCTGAGGGAGGCTCCGTTTTCATTTTTGAGTATCTAAATTTTCCAGTTTTTCACTATGATAGCTAGTTCTGAAGATTTTTTTTCCCCTTGATTTTGAATTTGATAGAATTTATTTCAAGTGGAAGAATTTATTAGGTCATTGAAGTGATTTAAATGACTTGATAATAAAATGATTTACAATATATTTTATTAGTTGTAAATGATGCAATACAACAAAAATCATATGAAAGTGCTGATTCCAAAATGTTTTGTTTTTGGATTTTATTACTAACTTATTGATAATTTAAAAGATAAAAATAACACATTGTATTTATGATTTGTAGTTTTAATTTTTTAAAAATACTTTCTTTATTTTTTAGTTGTAGTTAGACACAATACCTTTATTTATTTATTTATCTGTCTATCTATGTATTTATTATGTGGTTCTGAGGAGCAAAGCCAGGGCCTTGCATGCGGTAGGTGAGCACTCTACTGCTGAGCCACAACCCCAGGCCTATAGTTTTAAATTTTTGGATAAGCTTTGGAATTTTTCAGGTTTGCTTCTTAGAATTTCTTCTTTTTGAAATTGTCTTTTTATACCTTTGCGCATTAATCTTTTGAGGCCTTCTTTTTTTTTTTTTGTTTGGTACTAGAGGCTTTACCGCTGAGCTTCATCCCTAACCCATCTAAATTTTTATTTTGAGACAGTCTAAGTTGTGGTAAGGCTGGCTTTGAACTTGAGATTTACCTGCGTTAACCTCCCCAGTAGGGATTACAGGAATGTATCACCATATCCTGCTTGAGGTCTTTTCTTCTGGACTTATTTAAGCATTAAAAATATTAATCTATTTTATTTATAGCATATATTTTCTCAAATCTGTCATTTTTATTTTACATTAAATTTGATTTTCTTATTTTTGCCATTTCTTTTATACTTASAAATTTCTTGCCTGCCTGAAGTCAAATATCAATCTTTTCTTTAGTTCTTTTTAAAATTTTTATGTTTATATTAATTTTTCTTTTTTAAATAATAAAAAATACTTTAAGCCATTTACTTCTAAACACAGCTGTGAATTTATGATATGGGTTCGATACTCACTTTCCATGTTTATTTTTTCTAAATAATCTGGTTTTGTATTTTAGGTTTTCTTTTAAATTCATTGTTAATCTAGGTGATTTCCAGATATTTTGGAACTTTTGTTTGTACTTGTTTTGAAGTTTTGTTTTTTTTACTTTTGGTTAAAGAATGTGGTCTTTAAAACTTGCTCTTATTTTAAATTATTTGTAATCTTTAGACCTAATATATTATCTTCATAGAATTGTTTGAAGATTATATGAGGCATTATGAATACAGATTTGAGTGTAGTAACTGGCACATAGTCAGTGCTTACTAATTGTTAGTTTGTTACTATTTTCCAGATTTGGAAAGTCATCTTTTATTATACCTATAAAATGATTGCTTTTGTCCTTTTTGCTTAATTTTCTTGTTCAGAAGTAGCTGTTATTTATAGGTTGAATATCTTAATAGGTTGAATATCGTATGATAAGCCACTATACAGTTTGAAGACACATTTCAAAGCAAGGCCACATTTTAGTTTTAAATTAAAAAATTTTATTTTTGCCATGCGGGGCATTGAACTTAGGACCTCACACATGCTAGGCAAATGCTCTGCAATTGAGCTATATCCCCAACCGAAAGGATGCTTTTTAAAGAGAATTTAAGTTATTTGGATAATTTCTTTTTAACATGCCTATCTTCTATATGGACTTATGGAAGTCTAAATGTAAATATACTTTCCAACAGTAAGAATATACTGATCATAAATTTAACACTCACTTAGAGTTAATACTCTACATTCAGTTTTCAGGAAGCCAGCTGTTTTATACAAACAGTAATTATTTCTCACAACATATTAGTGATAACAAGGGAGACTAAAATTAGAAAAATAGCTTTTAAGTATCCTACTGAGAAAAGCACCATTATTTTCATGTGCAACAGACAGGTTTTTAATTAAAGTATTTTTGGAAGGATAATACATGTATATGGTATGAAATTCAAAGGGACAAAGAAGCACATGGGAAAAGTTTCTTACTCATTGTCTTCCTGCTATCTGGTTTCCCTCTCCAGAATCATCACTATTTTCTTGTATATGTTTTCAGAGATACTTTATGCATATACAGTAATATTTGTATGTGCACATATTTTAGTCATGTAGTTCTTAATTAGAATTATTTGTATTTATAATCCTAATTTATTTGTTTTAAATTCTGGATATGTCTTAGAGTAATGACTAATTTATGACTTAAGAAAACATTTAAAATGAAATCTTGGCTTAAAAAATGTGTTTTTTTCCTAGGAGTCTTAAAAATAGAAAAATGACTATAAAAATCCAGGTGATTAATTTTAAAACAAATATATAAATTAATTTAAATATGGGCATGGAAGCGTGCCTATTGGTATTAACACATAAAAATAGTTACCAAACAAAATGAAAAAAAAAACAACAACAAAATAGTCAATCATTAAAAAAATGTCAGAAATGAAATAAAATAAAAAATGGATTATATTGTCACTCTTCTGTTTCCTTTTAGGAGTGAACTGGAGTCTGTGAAAGAAGAGCTAAAACAGAAAGGAGATGAAGTTAAATTTAAATTGGACAAGAGTGAAGAAAATGTATGTTATATTTAATAATATGTACTCAGAATCTCAAATCATAAAACACCACCATTATGTCTTTAAAAAAGTGACATATACTGTTGTGTAAATAAGTTGTGATATGGGGACTGTCTTAAGGCATTAACCTTAAAAATATAGGTATAGTATAAATGTATAGATTGTAACTGAAAAAAGTATTATGTTTAGTAATGAATGCTCAATATTTAACATTGATTTACATTTTTAGGCTAAATAAAAGCCTCATGCTGTGGAATAAACTAAGAAGTTCGTGTTATATTTTGGTGAATACAATTTCAACAAGATTTTTTAAAAAGGGGGGCTGGGAATGTGGCAAATGGTAGTGTTTGTCTAGCATATGTGAGGTACTGGATTCAATTCCAGTACTTAAAAAAACGGTTTTTAGGGAATATTATCACAAATTGGAATTGTACAAAATATGTGACATGATTATACAGTGTAATATATAATATACAGTGGGACAAAATTATACCAAAATAGAAAGATCATGCTAGATTATGAAGGCTTTATGTTTTCATTTACTGACAAATTTTATCTACACATATTATTATATATGCTTAGCATTTTTCTGGGTGCTAAGCTGTGTTCAGATATCATTTGCTTTGGTTAGGACAGTTGTGTTTGAATAAAGTCTTTTTTTGGGGGAGAGAATGGAGTAGGGAGAGATGAAAAGCACTAGAATCAGTTGGAAAGCTATTAAAGTTGTCTTGAAAGCTCTGAAAACATTTTTGGGGAAGATTCTGGCCTAGTTCAATTTACTTATTCCTAAGCCAATCATTGTGTCTAGGGGATAGAGTAATGGTTGAAGACTTGAGCTACATACCTGTTCCTGAAGACAAGAGTCAGTCCTCATCAAACTATATGAACTGAGCAGAATTACTGTGGAATTTACAGTAAAGAAGTCCTTGCAGGAATGGGTGCTGGCCAGATCGAAACATAGGTCCTATGTATGGATCCTATTAGAACTTACAGAAAGGACATCTAATCCAACTTTAAATCAGGGCAAGCTTCTTGGAGAAAGTGACATTCAGTTCACTTAGACTAATAGGAATTAATGGTAATTAATTAATTATAGGGATGGATACAAGTATAACAGGAGAATAACAATATTCCAAGTTAAACACACACACATATTATATGGGAACGCCTAAAMGTATGACAGAGAATGGCATATTTAGGCAATGATAAAAAATTAATTGTGGTTGGGCATGGTGGCTCAAGCCTTTATTCCCAGTTACTCAGAATCTGAAGCAGGACAATTGCAACTTTAAGGCCAGCCATGGAAGGTTAGTGAGACCTTGTATCAAAATAAGATTTTTTTAAAAGGGGGGCTGGGAATGTGGCAAATGGTAGTGTTTGTCTAGCATATGTGAGGTACTGGATTCAATTCCCAGTACTTAAAAAAAAATTACTGTCTCTAAAAAGTGGAGTTTAAGATAGTTGTAATAATGGAGAGAGTAGGGAGAGATGAGGATAGATAGAGACAAGGGTGGAGAGATGAGGGTGAAAGATGAAGGTGGATCATTTAAGGAAACATAAGTTATATTTAGGAGTTTGATGTTATTGAAAAGTTTTGTTTTGAGTACTGTTTTAATCATATTAATACTTTAGAAAACTGTAAGACTATAGAAATAGTTCAAGGGCTTACAAATAGGAGTTAGTGGAAAGTAGAGGGTTTATAATGGACCAGGCACATTCTAGGTCCTTTCTGTGTGTTATTTTGCTTAACTAGAATTCATTTTTTTTCTTATTTTATGAATTAGGAAATCAGATCTCTTAAAAGTAAATAACTTTGAAAGGTTACATGACTAACAAGTAGTAGAGCTGGTCTTCTACAATCTGAAGACTATACTATGCTCCCCTTCCTCTCCAAAATCCAATGTTTTCTTTTAACTTTATTAGTTATTCTGAATTCAACCTGCAAATGAGTTTAATGCACTAAATACTTGGTTATGTAATTTAGTACTTAAAAATTTGTGTCAGAGGCTACTACAAACAACAGGCCGCTGTTGTATGTGACAGGGAAACATGAATTTGATATTTAATTTACAAAGTCCTTCATTATGAATTTAAAGTATAGTCTATTTTTGCCAATGTAGAAAATCTTAGTGATGAGTTAAGGAAAAAAACCCAAAATGTATGTCAAATTATTAGCATATTTCTGCTTTCCATGATTGGATTTCAACTAATTTATTGAAGTAGTTTCCAGAAAGAATTCAAATTATAAATACTTTTTAATTTGATTGCCTTACATTTAATTTCATTACATTTGTTTCCCCTGAACTACTACCTTAGTTTAGATATTTATTATTTCATAAT